AATTTTTTCATGTTTTCTTAAATAATGACTTTTTGCGTGAGAACGCATAGATCTCAATTCTATAACGTTGCCAAGACAAACAATATCAAAATTTATGACCTTTGCTAGGCCATTCAACCTGAAATAACATTTTTATACGCAGATGAACATTATAGGCCGCTGTGACTTGAAAGTCATATAATTCATTAATACCAAAAAAAATCTTCAAACAGAATCATTTCATTTTTTGTTTTTAATTTGCATATACATGCTTATAAATATCGTTTTTTTGTTCCGCTAATTTTTTTGATGTAGAACCCAAATTCGGTCCAAAAAGGCTTAAGATATGATTAAGATATGATTTTCCTCAATAATACTTCTAATTTTTTGATCAGATCCGGAAAATTTACCTTACATTTTGAGAGTCTCTGAAGTGTTTTCCTCACTAGGCCAATTCTGTTCGTATGTTTAGTGTTTACTTCCGTTTGTTTTTGCCGCAGCTCGGTCTGCCGCAAACATCGGAAGTCTGCTGCCGATTTCCATATGAGGATAATAGAATTTAAAATAAGAAGATTACCTTAACTCGGTGAATTTATGTGTCATTAATTTTCAATAGCATTTATTGCATGGTAATTTCTACCTGTTGCAAAATTACTGTAGTCTTATGTATTATTGCACTGAAAACTTAATACTGGGTACATGTAGTAAGGCTTCAATAAAAAATATTCTATAATTTATAAGCTTACTAACTGAAAACTACTATAAAAGGTTTAAAAGAATAAATTTTAATTATAATCATTAGAATATCTTTATAATTTATCTATCGAATGGAAAATCGACTATTATGTTGTTTTTCTAACCTGACGTTATTTTAATGAATTGTGGTATGTTATATTTTAATAGTTTGATAAAAATGATTAAAATATTAAAGTGTGTTAGTTATGACCATTAAGATGTATTTTTAATGCCAGTGAACTTTTAAAATATATCACTATGTACATTATCTATTTTATTTCGCGCAGACAGAAAACGTGAAGGTAATTTTCAGGTCTGTGCAGTAAAGCACGAATAAAAATGAATTATTTATTATGCTATAAAAAAATTGGTTGAACTTACCCAGGAAGATGTTTCTCGGAGATATACTAGTTTTAGTGATGTCTTTATGTATGTATGTGTATATGTATATATGTAAGATTCTGCCGCTTTTTGGATAGTACGAAAAATATTCGTTTTTTTAATGTGGAATTTTAATGAAGACACATACATGTCGATTTTACAAAGTACTTTTACAAACAGATTTTTATATTACGTACACTTTAATAATACGTACAAACTTTTTCTATTGTGATTTTGTAGCATATACTGTACTCTAAGCAAATTTTTCAAGTATTTGTGTGGAACTTTGTTTTGCGGAGAAATTCAAACCTTAAGGATTTGTTTTTGTACATAATTTAGCGTTCCGTGCAAATAAGAAGGTGGAAAAACTAGCCATTCGAAGCAAAGCCCAACAACGATCTAAAAATGTCATGACATATATATATATATATATATATATATATATATATATATATACATATATATCATATTTGTCTTGCGCTATTCATTCTTGTAAAATATACAAGATCGCTCCACCGCGCAATATATTATGCAAATATTAAGAAAGCTCAATTGTAATATGAGTTACATTTTATGTATTCTTTTACTAATGTGATAATGTGATAATGTAGGTGTTTTCAATATTAATAATCTTTTTGCTAATAAAAACGTCAACAACAATGAAAGGAAACTGTCATAATTGTATTATCAAATACAATTAAATTAAATTATAGATCTAAATAAATTATCTTTTAGAAAATCAAAATAAAGTTGTAAAACTTGTGAAATCAAACATCAAAACCCAAAACATCGATATCATTGTTAGATTGTATTATTTGAAGTTTGATAAACACATAATCGAATTTTAATTATTAAATTTTGTTTGATTTTACATTAAGTAAATTAATAAATAATTTCTTATATTAAATTCATTTTCATTTATGTGAATCTTTAGCACTACTGCTAATCAAATTTTCACGGAAATATATGTAACCGTGTTCTATTAAAACAAGGCTATATCTATTTCATCTTGCGCAGATCGAAAACATAAGGCCAACTCTCACGATTACGGAGTAAAGCAGCGTATAAAAATTAATTATTTATAGTATTTAGGAATTAATAGTATACACGCCATCTTATGAAGCATTATACCATTTGATAAAATTTTATTAACATATTCTAAATAGTATAGCTTGACTTAATTGAAATCATGTTTTTATTTAAAGACAATAAATATGTTAACGTGTATTTGTATCCTTTCTTCAATGGAATTATGAATGGAGCTCGTACATATTACTATATTCTATGAAATGTTACGTTTTCGAATAATAGTACATAACTTCCATATGCGTTATGTATTATAATTTGGTAATATGGTGTTTTACTCATAGATTAGAGCAGCTTATTTCAATTCAGCTGGCGTTTTGCCAAATGGAATTCAACAAGTAAGGCTTAGAGTATGCAATTTAAAAACTGCTAAGTGCAAATATGGTGAATAAAAAAATATTAAATTTGAATAGTTTCATCAAATATGCTATCAAGATACATATATACATATTAGGTAGGTAACTAAATAAGTGCGGATTTTGTTAAAAATCAATGTAATTTTTTTATAGAAAAATAACTTTATTTTGTAATAGTTATCCGTTTTTATCAAAGGATAATATATTACAGAACGGCTGATTTAGATACAATTTGACACCATCGTAATCATTATATTGTTTACCATTCAAGGAGTGTTGGATAGATTGAAAGAAAGACTAATCAGAAGATGCAAGGTCAGGACTATATGGTGGATATGACAAAAAATGCCAACCAAGCTCCAATAATTTTTGTCGAGTGACCAAATATATGTGATGTCAATAATGTAATAAATCACTATTTCGATTTGTCAATTTAGGCCGCTTTTCTTCGACCATGTTGTTTAATTTTATCATTGTAGATATCAGAATTGATTGATCGGTTAGATGGTAAGAGTAAATGTAGACAATTCCTTTGGAATCAACTTTGACCTGACGACCAGATCGTTTTTCATCTATGAGTGAAAAATCACCAGAACCAATTTTGACACCAACAGTTTTTTCTAGGTTGCATCACCATATATAATAGTTAATAACTTTTTAAGGCTTAAGATGTCTTTTTATCTTTGCAGAAATAAAAAAGCAAAGTATAACATAAAAATTCTATTTGATTTTTTTATATTTCAACGAATACCAAACAAACACTACACATTTGATAAAAAATATATTGCCTACTATCAATTAGCAAACGGTAATTTACATTTGGGCTACGTCAGCAAACCTAAAAATAACTATAATAAATAAAGCTAACCCTTCCTCGTCTATTATTCCCATTACCAGTATTCCCCATTTTCATACATTTTTAGGTATTTTTCTTTCCAAACATCTGCTTCTATGCTTCCTGATCCTGTGCTTCGGCTTTTAATACCCTGTATTGTTTTTTCTTGCGTAAGTCATCAATCATCTGCAGCCTTCTTCTTCCCAATCCTTTTAGTCTTTATTAGTTCAGTCATTTAAGCTGTAAGTCTGTAAATACTTGTATATTGACACCATACATTTTTTGCAGAAAGATCCGATTCAGTTTCCTTTCCTGTTCAGGATCGTGCTCTTTCTTCGCCCACTCTCTTTGCCACTTCTTCATTGGTTATGTTTCCTGTCCACTGTGCTGTCCAGCACTACATTATATGTTTATACTACTGCATTACACCACCATTAATAGTTCCCAAATATGTAACAACAAATGGAAAAGCCAAGTTACAAATAATACGTTTTTGTTGAATTATTCAAGAAGTCCTACTTTTATAGAATGACATATCTTCATAGGTTATTTTTCTTGTCCACTGTCCTGTCCAGCACTACATTATATGTTTGTACTACTGCAATACACTACCATTAATAGTTCCCAAATATGTAACAACAAATGGAAAGGCCAAGTTACAAATAATACGTTTTTGTTGAATTATTCAAGAAGTCCTACTTTTATAAATGACATATCTTCATAGGTTATTTTTCTTGTCCACTGTCCTGTCCAGCACTACATTATATGTTTGTACTACTGCAATACACTGCCATTAATAGTTCCCAAATATGTAACAACAAATGGAAAGGCCAAGTTACAAATAATACGTTTTTGTTGAATTATTCAAGAAGTCCTATTTTTATAGAATGTATTGCATGTGCAATGTATTCTAGTTGCAAAAAAATCACAAATTAATTTCACTGTATAGTGTTTACACTGGTTTGTATATTTTTTATCTCGCGTTTGAGATTTTGATAAAGATCCGACCGGTGGACCAGCCCTGCATCCGTTCTAATCTATAATTAGGCAGCTCGGCAGCCGAGTCGCGGTCACCGCGGTCGGCGCGGTCGCCGCTGACCGTCTCGGACTTATGAGTTGCACCTACAAGTATACTGACGGGGCACGCATCGGTTATTTCTCTTCCGCACCGCGGCGCAAGGGGCTCGGAAAAGAGGCATTATTTTCACGTCACGCTACGTTCACGTTACGATTACTACGACAGGGCGACGTTCAGTTTTCAACTGCCACTGCTGGTCTGACCATCGTGGCACGCGGTCGCCCATATCAGTCCTCGGTTTACGTTCGATACCCGGTAACTATGTTTACGATACTGTCCTCGTCTACGGTCAGCTCGATGTTCTTGTATCTATGTAGCAGTGTTTTTGTTATCGTGTTTTGAACACAAAAGTGATCGATGTCTTTGAATTATTAACGGCAGACTTTGTGCCTCCTTCTAGTGTGGCCTTGTGTGTGATCTGAACACTAATTGGAGACTCCCTACGGTAAGCGATTACACACACGCACATCATACACGAGAACTATTTCTACAGACAATTAGAAAAATCGGATTGTAATCTGATACACTACGCTGATATATCGATTCCACAATGAATTTGATGTTTCGGAAGAACTTTAGGGCCGAGAAGTCATTCGGCGGCGGTGGAGGAAAGCACGGGGGAAAAGGTAACGCCGGAAGAAACATGGGAAAACGGTCGCGGGAGCACGGATATGCAGGCGTCGAGGAGCACCATTATCGCACGCATATTTTCTTCAGCCCGACCCGTAGTAGCTTTCAGCCAGAGTATGAAGGTTAGATGATAATACTAACCTACAACTTCCTTTGTTCATTATTTTATAACCACATTGAATGAATAATAAGAAAATGGATCGACGTTAATAAAACATCCTGAAATAAAAAGATTCAAAACGCTAATGAGTTTTAGAGCTGTGCATTTTGTTACTTGGAATTCATGAATTATTGAAAAAATAGATGTTACAATTTCAGGTATCATTTGGTCTACACGTATAAAATTAATCGAGATGTTTTTATCCGCCTGAATATGTATTACTTTATCATGACCCGATTTTCAGATACAATCATTTCCATTTCTCTACATAATTCGTGTAGCTTAAAATAGTTACAATAGTAGTCATGAAATAATCATAAAATAGTTTCAAAAAGCGTAGCTCGCATTTATTATTGATATTTTATGATCGTTTTAAGCAAATATTAGGAAACAGTGCGAACTGACACGTGTTTGACACATTATGATTGCTCACGCGAATAAATGATTTTATGTTAAATATGAAACATTGCGATCATTCACACACGTCGATAGTCAATTGTACAATACATTTTAAACATAAAACATAAAAAAATATCTTTCTAAACATAACTCATTACAGGTTAATGCAGTTTGTTTTGGTTTAAAAATTTATTTAGCTTGCCATATCTTTGAGACCGTGCCAAAAAACATGACGAAAAACTTTTAGAACATGTATTTTTGGCTGTTATTCTATTATGTACTATAGCGTGACAAATTTAAAACATATTCTCAGATAGAAATCGACAATGTGTGTAATGTGACAATAATATCCCAAATGAAACGAAGGAATAAATTATGTATAATCGTTTAAGCGAAAGTAAATTATTTATAGTTGATACATTATAAAATACTTAACAGTAGGTAAATGTTAAGGAATCAGACACCCAAATTAAAAACTAATGAAATGTTTGACTCTTACGTATTATATATATATATATATATATATATATATATATATATATATATATATAGAGCAGCCACAAAATCCAATCCAATAGGGTAGAGCAGCCACAAAATCCAATTTGACTTTCAGCAATTATCATGTCTAAACTAAATGACACTACATGGCAACACATACTATTATATGTACTAAATAAATCATTATCGAACTATGTTCACTAATATTTCCAGTTAACTCTTAATTATAGAAATATGTTTATTCACTTTTTTTTTTTAATTTGTCTTCTGTCCCTTTTTGGCCCATGGGCGGGATAGCAAGTGGCCAAACCGATTCAACCTCTTATTTTTATTTCTCAAGGGATGTTACGAAATTAATAGCTACAATATTTGATAAATATGAAATTCAAATTTTTTTAGAACATTTTTCACAAAGATTTTATTGTATATAATCCCGATCTTATATATCGAAAGAAATATTCATCAACACAGGTCCAATAACTATTAATTTAACGTTTCTCTTGTAAAATTGTTTTTTTTCAACTTAATTTACTTTTTGATTTACTATTTTTTATTGTTTACACCTTTACCAATGTAATGGTTCAGTTGATCCTTTTTACCCTACTACCCACAAGTAAGCTTTTATAGACGTTATATTGAAAAAAACTGTTGAATCTAACTCAAGAATAGCAATACATTTTACAAACGCATAATAAAAATCATAACCAATTATCCGGATCTTATGATATTCAGGTATCATAAACTGAAAACCAAAAAAAAACTGCCAACTAAAAAAAAATACTTTCGGTATGATTATTGATACATTTTTGATTATTTCTTAATAGAGGCATCGTAAAAATTAAAGTGATGGCTGGTTACAGATCTTTTGCTTTCTACTAGTATCATTAAAAATTATATACTTGCTTTTGATATAATGGTGGTGGATCTTTTTACGGACCTTTAAGCCCCACCTTATCCTATACTGATTCAATCAATTCTTAATTACCTTTCTTTAATTGGTGTCCTATTTTTTTTTAATTCCTGAACCAAGCCATTTTCGAATAAATACATTAGGGTGGTCCTTATTATGGACATTTACGAAATACGCCAGGGGCTCAAATGCTTCCAATTTGATAAAAAAAATCTCTAAGTTTTAGCTCTTAATGTTGTCTTTTAGATAGTGCGCAATTCAATCAAAGTTTTGTATGGAAAAAGCATGGAAAAATTATCAAAAATTTTAAAAATATTTTTTAGATATAACTTAGCGAACAAATGAAAGAGTTTTATTCAAAATTCGACGCTCTACAAAACAAATTATAAAAAAACCTGTTTTGTAGGGCGTCGAATTTTCAATAGAACATGACACGAATTGTCACTTTTAATTCATTTGTCGTTAAGTTATACCTTAAAAAACATTTTTAAAATTTTCGAAACTTTTTCCATGCTATTTCCATACGAAGCTTTGATTGAATTGCGCGCTATCTGAACGTTAATATTAAGAGCTAAAACTTTTAGAATTTTTTTTATCAATTTGGAAGCATTTAAGCCCCTGGGAGCAATAAAATTCGGAAATGTCCATATTAAGGACCACCCTATACATGTTATGTATGTATATTTATATGCAATGTGCACTTGAATGTAAAAATTGTCTTGACATTTCATTTCTCGTTATGCTTGTGTCTACAAATCGATACTCATGATACAATTGAAGTCATAAAAGTTTAAAATTATGCCGAATGAGCAAACCAAGAAAGCTACACACGTTGAAAGTACATTACATTACGAGCTGTTAGTTCCATGTCATGACGGAGTTGTCTATCTAGTAGCAGCAATTCTGACCTTAACCTTTATTCCTCATAATTATAGGATAATATATCTTTAGCATTCTAACATACCTATTGTCGCATAATCAATATGAGCTATGATAATTATTTATGTTGCCTAGTTCATCCAAGTAATCTAGTTCGTTTACTGTAATTACGTCTAATAATTGCTAATCCATATTTACCTATATTTATATAGTCAAACTTTTTGAAAAAAAAATTAAATATAAGTTAACACGGGGCACAAAGATCCAATTTAACTTTGGGGAATTATATTTAGAAAACCGAACTAAGGTATCACGGGGCACAAAGGTCCAATTTGACTTCGAGCAATTAAATTTAGAAAACCAAACCAATTATTTCACAGCAAAGAAAACATATCAGACAAACAACGATCTGACTAAGTTCAGTAAAACTCCCAGCTAATACATCATTGTAGAAATGTTTTTTTGCTGTTTTTCAAAAAATTATACCAGATCAAGGTTATATACGATGTTATCTCTGTAAAAAATGAACCCATGCATTTTATATTTTGCATTCGTTGACTAATGTAGCTATTATTTCATAAATTAAAAATGAGATAATGAACCTGTTTTGCTGTTTTTTCAAAAATTTGTCACCTGGTCTTTTTTACCCCATAGGCTAAAATGGGTCAGGGGCAAACAGGTATAATACCATATTTTTAATTTTAGAAGGATTTTACGAATTATTAGTTACAATATTCAACCAATGCAAAATATGAATTTCCTAGGGACATTTTTTACAGAGATAACAGCGTATATAACCTTGGTCTGGTATTTCGTCAGAAATAATCAGCAGAATTGGATTAACTATTTATCCAACTTATGTCTTGTAAAATTGTTTTTTTTTTTTAACTTAATTTAATTTTTTCATTCGTATTTTTTATTGTTTACACTTTTATCAGAGTAAAATTTCAAATGGTCCTTTTTATCCTACCCACATGTAGGAGCACTTTTATAGATCTTATATAAAAATCTGTTGAATCTAACTTAAAAATAACATTAAATAAATATAAAATATTTAAATAACGTTGACTTGAAAATTATATTAAGGTCTGGTAAACTAAACAACAGTGCTCACAACCAAAATAATCAACAACGAATGAAAATACTTTTGCTATGGATTTTTGTAAGAATCAAAGTAATGGCTAGTTATACATCTTTTTTCCTCTACTTTCAGATATTGTTGTTGAAAAAAATCTTAACTTTACTTGTTTTTGAGATATCGGTGGTGGACCTTTTTACCAGCGGTCCTTTAAGCCCCGCTCTAATATATATATATATATATATATATATATATATATATATTTAATTTTTAATGAACAACCAAAAAAATTACATATGTTGAAACGACTACTAATATAACTTGAATATAATATTTTTTTTAGAACTATCAAGGTGAGTTATCGAAAATATTTACATTATAATCAATAGTAGATATGTAGATTTATATATTTGCAAATGTAACTTAAATATATTTTAATTATTAAATATCTGTTAAAATATTCCACTCACTACTTGCGTGCAACAAACTTAATTTATAATCCAATTATTCCCAGATAATACGAAGTTACAGGTTTGTAATGCGTTTTTATTAATACAAAGCCATTTAGATTTTTTATCGTAATTTGTATAATAGTTTTATCAATAGGAGAAAATAAGTAGTGAAGTTAAAAAAATTCAATGAAATTTTGCGTGCTAACTTATCCCACTTACAATTTCTTTGTATTTTTCTTATCAGTTAATGAACTTCAGCTTTATTTTCAATGGAATTACGTGAGCCCTTTTCGAATTGTTTGATATTTACAACACGCAATTTATTCATTAATGTTATTATATGCGAATGAATCATAATTAATTGTCGATATAGTCGGAAACAGCTTTTTGTGTAATTTCGAAATAGTTCTAGAAATAACAAACAGCGTGAATTAAAGGACCACAACGTGTTATCTCAGTTGTGAACATTTATTTATTAACACTTATAATTAGATTTTGGCAAAGGCAGGTCTAGCCGTTTCGTAGATGCTGAGCTAAATTTGCAAAAATTGGCAGATTTTGAGAAGCATCCGATTTGAATGATTCAAAAAACTTTCTGCTTGTATTAAACGATTGCTTTTGGAATTTTTTTTTTTCAAAAAAACTTTTTTTGAATATCAAAAATAATTCGAATTTTAATTTTTTTTTAGTTAAAGTTCTAAAGCTTAATTAAATATTTCAAATAAATAAATTTAACTTTGCAATTCAGTTTAAAAATGAATATATATATTTCATATGCCTTATTGAAATCGTAAGAAATATATCCTCAGTTGGATTCATTCAGCAACTCTTTTTAATGTAAATATTTTCAAGTGTTTTGAGCGGTAAGATCGTCACTGTATATTAGTTATATGAACGAATATATATATATATATAGTAATTATAATAATCTCTTTGAAAATATTTGAAACCATTGTATTTGAAACAAGTCAAATATTTATTGATTACTGTTTTTTTTCCTCGAATATTTAATTCTGGTACGGGAAGTTCTAGCTATTTGCCTTAAGGCACGATGCCATACACCACTAGTTTAATAATTGCATTGTTATTCTACACTATATATATATATATATATATATATATATATATATATATAATCATGACTATGATCTAAATATCATGCGGATCTATTTACCAGCTCACAAACACGTTTTATAAATCAATATTTGCATGATAGTGAAGCAAATTAGCTGAAATAATAATGGATGCAATTAATTTCAAATCAAGGGTTATAGTTAACCAGTAATCACTATTTAATTTATATTTATATAGAGAGTACTATGTGTAATATTTTAACTTGTGAGAGCACATTAGAATCTCATATTTTAATTCCATGTATTTTCTGTTGGCTCAAAATTCAGTTTTCTTTTTCTCTTAAAATAATTTCCCAAAGATATTGTATTTGGTACAGTCATTGTATAGTACTTGCTTATTTGTAATTTATTTATTTTGACTCTTCAAACAGTTTTTGGTGCTAAAAAGATAATAATGATATATACAATAATAATAAAACAAAAAAGTAATAATAATGCACTATAGTGATTTCAAAACAGCTGTCATAAATCCGTATGTCTCGTGTTGAAACGTAATATTTTGGTAATTTTGCTGTATTAGCGTTTCTTCTCCATGAAGAGCTCTTATTTGAATTGAATTATATTTGGCAAGATTTCATATGCAAGAGCTCATTAGCGTACATTTTCTAGACAAACTATACAAAGGATATCATTTGCATATTTTGGATAATAAATATGCTATTTGTTTTTTTATAAAAGATTTTTAATGATCAAACATCAAAAAAATCAAGATTTTTTAGAATCTTTATGATAACAAATGTATCGATATTTTCATTTATGCCGTCATCAGCTGATCTATGAAATAATTATATTGATCTATTAAATAGAGACATGTCAGAGCAAAAATAAATATTTTATGCCTATTTTTCAGTCATTTTTGTTCTGATATTAATTACTTTACATTCCTTTAGTTTATAAGGGCTTAAGGGGCACAACTAGTAAATAGAATTTTCACTTTTTTCATATTTCGATTGGTTATATTTTAAAAATAACATACCAAAATTTTAAATCGATATCTTAAATCAGTATATATATATAGTATATAGTATAACGATCATTTAATCTTTAAACGCGTTTTTCTCGAAACAGCATTTTCCGAATTTGCTGCAGCGATTACTCAAAACAAATGATCGATCACTATCATTTTTTTTTTGTTGTATTTATACTTCTCCGTGAAATAAACTATCGATTTTTTGATCGGATCAAAAATCGAATTTTGGCAGTTCAAAAAAGACCAAAATTTTGGGTAAAATTCGACTTTTTTTTTAAAGAACGCCGTCATTTTGTCAATTTTTGATTTTTTTTTTCTTTGTCGTCGTTCATTTTACAGACAATATTATCTAGTTTAAAGAGAATTTTTTTTAATTTCATCCACGTAGAAGGCCGGAATCACTGCAACAGTGAAGGGCCTTTTTTTGTCGCGCCTTTTGACGTTAACTTAAAAAATATTTAATTTTTTTTTTCAAAAATTTTACTATGTATTCTTAAAACATGTATAAATATATTCCTGAAGTTTTGAAATGATTGATAACGTAGTTTTTTTAATATAATTTTCCCTTTTTTTAACTTTTTTTTAGGCGGTTACACTAGTTGTGCCCCTTAAATAGAAACATGTCAGAGCAAAAATAAATATTTTATGTCCATTTTTTAGTCTGAAAATATTTCAATTTTTGATTTGATATTAATTACTTTACATTCCTTTAGTTTATAATAGCTTAGTTGAATGTATATCGAATTCTATGAATAGACAAGAAATTACATTTGTGTGGAAAAGGCAAGGAAATCTATTACCTGGATGGATATCTTTGTTTTTATCTATATATTTTTTACCTTTTGATATATATATATATATATATATATATATCAGATATATATATATATATATATATATATATATATATTCTGATATATATATATAATATTATATGATATCCTTAATATGGATGTTTTCGAATTTCCTTGCTCCTAGGGGCTCAAATGCTTCCAAATTGATAAAAAAAAATCTCTGACAGTTTTAGCTCTTAATACTCATTTTAAGATAGTCCGTACTCCAACTAAAGTTTCTTTAGAGTCAAAATTTTGAGAATAACATTGTATCTGCTTATTTTGATCATAAATAGAAAATTTACAACCAAAATTTGATATATTTCATAAAATAAGTATTTACTTAGGAACAAGAACCAAGAAACTTTGGTTGGAGTGCGGACTATGTTAAAGTTAATATTAAGAGCTGAGACTTTGAGGGATTTTTTTATCAATTTGAAAGCATTTGAGCTTTTAGGAGTAAATAAATTCGAAAGCATTTATATTAAGTACCACCCTAATATATATATTTCTTACATCAAATTTGTGACTTACATTTTGTGTCGAGTACTGTTCCAGAACCCAGATGTGGACCCGTGACTGGTGGAGCCGGCTCATTGACGGTGTCTCCATCAGATTTTGAAATGCCGCAACCGTTAGTTGATCGCAGATCATCAGTTTCTTTATTAAAATGGACTCCTTCAGGTAAAATGTAATCAAAAATAGTTCATATATAACTTTTCCTTCAAATTGTATGCTTGGTGCTAAGTTCTTTATAAATGCTAAAACTGAGAAAAATCGATTAAAATTTGCTTTATCCATATTTAAGTTCAAAAATAAATGATATAAATAGAAAACAATATATTAAAATTTTGTCAATGTTTTTTTAGTGAGACGAAATACGAATTCAGATTTGCCAACTCCTTGCACAACAAGACAAGTAAGTTTTAGTGGCGGGTCAACGAACACGACCGTCGTTACCAATGCACAACCTAGAACAGAGCCAATATCTTTAGCAACATTAGATAAAGATTGCTTCATAATACCCGTTCATAGCTTAGACAGATTTTTACCAGCTGGAGTACCGGTAAGTTTTATTTAAAAAAAAAACGAAATGATTAGACAATTGATGATGGAAATCAATCATGATACTGAACACTAACTAATTAATGTAGAAAAATTTATCTATTTGTATAATATTAACTTCCCGTAGGGTAAGTTCAGAGGTTTCTGAACATTTTGGCATACCTCAGAAAAAATAGATGTTTGTGTATGTGTGTATGTAGTATATACGTATGTATTGATACAATTTTCTTCCATGTTTTCGAGAGCAACGCTCAACCAATTTGAATTATTCGATTCCTATTGATAAGGAGACGTGCTGATTAGTTTTAGTCAAAAGTTGGTCCAGTTGTTTTGGAGACACGGAGCAAAAAGTGCAGAAATGGCATTTAAGATCGTGAGAGAACGGACCATCCTATTTATGAATCAAAAAACATTCCACTTGTATTGACGTAATGAAGAATTAAGTTTTTGCAAAGGCAGGTCCAGCAGTTTCGGAGATTGAAAAAAAAGTTTTAAAAAATTAAGATTGTGAGAGAACGGAGCATCCGATGTATGGATCAAAAAACATTCCACTTGTATTGACGTAATGAAGAATTAAGTTTTTGCAAAGGCAGGTCCAGCGGTTTCGGAGATCGAAAAAAACAGTTTTAAAATATTAAGATTATGAGAGAACGGAGCATCTGAGTTACGAATCAAAAAACATTCTACTTGTATTAACGGAATGAAGAATTAAGTTTTTGCAAAGGCAGGTCCAGCAGTTTCGGAGATCGAAAAAAAAGTTTTAATTAAGATTGTGAGGGAACGGAGCATCCGATTTATGAATCAAAAAACTTTCCACTTGTATTGACGTATTGAAGAATTAAGTTTTTGCAAAGGCTGGCCCAGCGTTTTTGGAGATCGAAAAAAATGTTTTAAAAAATTAAGATTGTGAGAGAACGGAGCATCCGATTTATGAATAAAAAAATATTCCACTTGTATTGACGTAATGAAAAATTAAGTCTTTGCAAAGGCAGGTCCAGCAGGTTCGGAGGTCAAAAAAAAGTTTGGAAAAATGCCATTAAGCGGTCCAAAAACTGATATTGTGTAATTTGAATCAACCGATACGTTATTAAACACTTTTAAGAAATTTCTAAGGAAAATTCAATATTCAAAAAAATTCCAAATTTTAGAAAAATATAGGTATTTTCAAAAAAGCATTTTTTTAATATTCAATATTTTCAAATATTTTCAAAACTTTAGAAAATGTTAAAAAAAAAATCAAAACTCGCAAAGAAAATCTATTTTCTTTTTGGGCTCTTAAAAATTTTGAATTACGATACGGGAGGTTCCAGCAATTTGCGTTTGGTATTAAGTTGTTGGGTATAAAATTATCGCCGTATCCTGAGAGCATTTTTTTATTTTTAGAAGAAAATTCTTTTTGTGTATTTATATTGAATATATTAAAATTTGAAATATAACAGTTAAAATTTATACAATTGTGTCAAAATACATATAAAATCATACTATAAAATTTTAGTTGAGAAAATCTTATTTACAGTTTTAAAATCAATTACAAAAATATTTGATCCAGTTTATAATTCTTATTATTACAAGTAGTCGGTATCGGTAGCTCTTGCTTCCCGGTTTAATCTTTCTTCTTCTTTCATGGCAGATCTGCTGAATAATTTAACGACTTCGTTCCTGGAGGAGTCTGGTCTTCGGGCGCTTGCAATTGAACGCTCCCTATCCGAATAATCTCGGCGACGGTGATAATCTTCTTTTGTAGCGCGTTCATGTAACTTGGTCGAGCGTTCCTTTGATTGACATCGTAAGGAAGGGCTGTAATCAACCTTTGGTTGCGTACGTTTCGAAATAGTACTTTCGGTCTTCGCGGCGGATCTTACATGTACACGGCCCACGTCATCTTTTGTCGCGCTTCTTACTTTAGGCTTTGTAGCAGCAGATAAATCCTTGTGAACAGTAGAAGCTGCCCGTTCATACTTTGGCAGATCATCTATGGCGCTTCTATTACCAGACTTCCTGTTGCTATCTTCCTTGGAGCTTCTTCGATTATGCATATGCATTCGGCTGCCGTCTTCGCGAGTTCGATGTTTGACACCTAATTCATCTTTCAACTTCAGTCTTTCAGTTTTATTCATATCATCCCTGACAGGTGATGCTTGGGAGATTGCATGGTGAGCTGAACGGTCGTGTCTTCTTCTATCGTTCGAAACATCCGGTGAATCTCCTCGCGAACTTCCACGATCTTGACGGCCACCGTGCAACGTCAATGTCGCTAAATCTTTATTGAGTAATCTGCGCGATTCGGCATTTAGTATATCGACACGATTTCTGCTGGTATGGTGTTCCTTCTTAGAAGCGGAGCGAATAGTTTTGCTAGGTTCTGTCTTAATAGTAATATAATTGTCGCTCTGCTTGACCAATTCCTCTTTTATAGCTGGGTATTTGACATAATCCCTTGGAGCCGAGTGACAATGAGCTCTAGCGCCGATATCTTTATTAACACTTACTAAACTCGGCTTAGCACTTTTGCTATTCTTATTGATATTCTCCATGTATTCTTTTCTATTCTTAGCGGTAATAACCGCCTCCTGAAGATATGCTTCCAAGGGATCTGTGCTTAAGCGACTTAATGTGGGCACAATACCAAATTCGTTTAGTTTTTTTGATAATACTGGGCCTTCTTTGGGAATATAGCTAACCCGATTTGGGGGGACTTTTCTTGTTTCCATGATCTTTAGGTTGAGTAAAGCAGATTTTTCCTCTTTTTTGCGGTCGCTCTTGATTTATAGACTCGATGCGACGCTCGCTTGGATTTTTCTGCAAAACACAAGTTTTATATAACTTAAATAAAATTAATATGATAATTAAAATAAGTAGTAATTGATCATATTAATTTAAAAGATCTTAATAGTTTTGTATTCAAAGTTCAATTTACACAAATTGTCGATCCTAGTTTACACAATCGTTCGGTGTCGTGGCTTGTTTGTAACAGATCTGACGTTGCCCGATAAAGTTTATTCCTAACTACGTTTCAAAATTCACAATTCGAGTTATTATTGTTAAGGCAATGCAATATATTTATGTGTAAACAAAGGTATATGTAAACAATTATTGCTTATATTTTCTCTCATTCCTGATTAATTATATAAACAACCTACTGGAATTTTCTTTATCTTAATAAAAATATATATGTGTGTGTGCGCATTTGTATATAAGTAGATGTAAATTAAGATTCTACACATAATAAATATGATGATGTAATATGCTTGTGAATTAAGCCAAACAAATGAGGCAAAATCGTACTATGTACTTTTACTATTTGTACCTCTTTTTTATACCATTAACTACCCGAAGGAGAAGTTTGTTTTCGCAAAAAAAATCCGGTTTGCTAATCTTATGTTTTCTCGGCGTTTCAAGTCATTCTGAATCGAATGATACCACATTTGGAAAAAGTATGTGTGTGTGTGAGTATGTGAGCCGTTTCTTTGTAATTAGTAGTAAAGTGTAAAATTTTCGCCTACGTTTTAGCCCACAAGGGGGCGTCCACTAATCACGTGATCGATTTTTTAAGGATTTTTGGACCTACCCTCCCCCTTGATGATACGTGGTGATATTCAAAATTACCCTCGTTTCCAACCAAACATCATGTGTATTTTTAGTTACTAGAAAAAAATATAATTTTTTTTATTTTTTTGGATGTTTGGATTTTTTAACAAAAAAATCAGATAAAGAATAAATACTCGTGATATTTACTATACCCCTCCCTCCCCAACGTGATATTTCGTGATTTTATCCCCCTAAAAACCTCACGTGATTAATGAACGCCCCCTAATCTTGAATCGATTTTAAAAATGCAAAAAACTGTAAGATATTTGTTGACGATTTTGATGAAGCTTTGTATAACGATAGATTTCGCAATCTGAAATAACATACTAAAATATTATAGGCCTACGATGAGCGGTTGAATTATAAAAAACCATCAAAATTTTGCCGTACGCTTAAGCAATTTTATACAGAATCTATGCCGAATATCCGTTCTGTGTTTAGCACAGTAGGCAGCTACTGATTACAGCTGCCGTCCACACTCAAATAAAATACGTTTTTCGAACACGAAATGGATTAAATGAAATTTATTAATTAAAGTAATTAAATTTATACAATCACAAATATTATAAGTATATTTCAAAGGCATCAATAGGATATAGTATTGATTATGATAAGTGAAAAGAGAAAATTTTATTTTGAAATAAAAATAAATTTTGTTAAAACAGTTGAACATTTTACCTAAACAGCTGATTCTCTATTTTTATTGTTTGAGTTTATTACGGGAAGGAAGTTCATGCAACTTGCCTAAAGGCAAAATGCTACTTACAACTAGTTTTTTTAATTTATAAATTGATATAAAACATTTTGACAGCACATAATAGAAAAGATTGCCAAACGAGACCATTTCCAAAGCCCACGAACAAATATCACATAAAATGCGTATGATTTAACAATCTAAATGAATTTAGATGGTAGATCTATAATGTATATAAATTTTAGATCTATAATAGATCTATAAAATCTACTCAAACAATACTTGCCTTGAATATGCTTCACACCATTTGACGTGCAAAAATGTGTGCACGGATTATGGATGACATTTTGCACAACGTATTAATTTTTTATGGATAACTAATATTAATCTAAATTATTAATGAATAGAATTAAAGTTGGTGTGTACTTACTCCAAGCAATGCTGCTTTTTCCACTAAAAACTGTTCATTTTTATAGATTGAGACTACTGAATGGATTAACTCATAACGCTAACTGGAGAATGGTAAAGCTTTTTTGTTTTAACATATTCGAACCAATCAGGTCCTCTCAACGATTTCTAGTAGCAGTATAAGTGTGATATGATGTGAACAATATTCTCGAAATATACCTTACTTGGAGGAAATTTTCTATACTCTTTGGAATTAGGCAGTTGTAAATTTAATTTGTGTATAGATTGAAAATTATTAGATTTGGGAAATTTAGTTTATGGATTCGATTTTAATTTAATATTTAATTATCGACAGAGATTTCGTATAATTCCCATTAAATTTTTGGATGAAAATGGTTAGACATCTATGTGTACATCCTTAATAGTGCTTAAAATACCAAATAAGTGTAACTTTCCAGGATAAATTTGTTTTCGTCAACTTTCTGATTTTTTATCAATGTTTTATATAATTTTGAATGATTTCAGACCAAAATTAGAAAATTATGTGTGTGAAAGTGTGAGCAGAAATTGGTTGAATTTTAAAAGTTTGTCAAAGTTTGCTATAGTGGGTCGAAGTGTGTTTGGCTGCTGATTACGGTTGGCGTTCATACTAAATAAAATAGATATTTAGAACACGAAGTACAATGAAATGATAACTATTGATGATAACTGGTTGAATCTTAAAAGTTTGCCAAAGTTTGCTATAATGGGTCGAAGTGTGTTTTGCTGCTGATTACCATTGACGTTCATAGTAAATAAAATAGATTTTTAGAACACGAAGTACAATGAAATGTTAAATAAATTAATTTCGTTTATGCAATAACAGATGTTATGAGTTTGTTTGCATTTGGAATATTGACACATTCGCACGCATATGTTGCGTGAGACCGAATAGTCAGACTCCGAACGCAACAGGTGCGTGTTTTCAAATGTTCAAATTAAAATTTTGTACTTCTTTGGTAAATTATTTCAAACATTTGTATTTATTATATTTCTTCGTAATTATTTCAAACAGAAATAGTCCTATTTATACTATTTTGGTTCAATTTTTTTTTAGTTTTCAACTAACAAGCCCAGAAATGGTTTTATTTAATATTAATCGAAAAAAAGAGTTTAACACGGGGAATTTGGGCTTTAGTGAAAGCAAAAACTATGTCTTCAAAATAGATAGTTGAAAATTTTGTCTAAATAGCTCTATTAATTCTTTTTGATTAAGTCAGTATCAATTTAATTCATGCAACTTACCTTAAGATAAAATGCCACTTACACTAGGGTTGAAAGCATATCTGTGCATCAAAATACTATTTGACCTTAAAAGTCAACTCAGTGTAGAATATTTAATTATATATAATAACAATAATAAAAACAATATGTTAATAACAATGTTAAATGTATTAAATTTAATTGTCATATGAAACTTTATACTGATTATTACTATCCTTTAATGACTTACATACTATTAATATTATTAATACAATTTATTACTTTTCAGCTGCCAACCCCGTCCTCAACCATATCTTCCACGGAAACCACCGCAACATCGCCAGGGCCCCTTAGTGTCCTCGAGGTGGCCGACCCAAAGTTGTGCGTACTTGCTCACCTCATGAGCCCTTTAGAACCAATAGATCCTCTTTTAGAATCCCCTTTGGCTCATCCATTATTCAAACAAAGAACGGCTGCTTCAGAATTGCTGACCGAAGTTCAACAAACAAATACAGCACTTAGTGGAATGTTATTGGCCAATATGGAAAGAAATGGTATATAAATTATTTATTACAATGGAAAAAGGATAACAAAAGCAATAATAGAATTTTTCAATGTTCAATTTTTTTATTGAACTTTAAAATTATTTATAATTTCTAAATAGTTAAAATGGAATATGAACTAATTATTGCAAGTAGCTAGTAGCAGTTGTAGCATAGAACCTTTGTGTTCGAATATGAAAAGATAGCCCCTTTAAAATCCTTTGCCACGTTAAGATTTATTTAGATTATGCCTGATTTGACATAATAGAACCATTACGAAGAGCTATATTTAGTTTAAATGACTATAACAATACAGAAACTATCCTGAAGTCTAATAATTAAAGTCTAATCAATAATTGTATAGTTAGTCAATTATAGTAGTAGTTAGTAATTTATCATAATTTTTACTTTTCAGCTGAATTTCCATTTATATCATACTATGTGATCAATACGCAGCAGAATGATCCTGCATTATTTTACAGTAATTTAAGAAGTGCTTCTTTGAGCAAATTTGAACCAAGAGCTTTAAGGTAAAACAATCGTATTTAAATATATTCTATGAATTTTTATTCCTGTATGATAAATTTACTTTATTTTTTATCAAATGTAAATATCTGATTTTCATTCTGATGCTTTCATTAGACTCTTTTGCCTTCGCTTTAAAATACAATTCTATTTGTAAGTATATATATGTAAGTATTTTTGTTACAGTCGTTGCCAAGACCAGGCATGGGTGGACAGGTATATATGTAAATATGTACAGAGCTGGTGATATTGGAACATCAGTAATTTTTACAAAAATTATATTGGAGATGAAATTTGAAATAGTTGAATGTTCCAAAATTACGGGCTCTTACATTATGTATATGTAAACACGTGTATGTGTTATAATTATTTATTAATGTATTGCGAATAGTTATATATGAGCGCATGCATTTTTATGCACAGCACTCATATTCCAAGCATTGTTTCTTGAGCTATAAAATACATGCAGTTTTATATATACATATATATATATATATATATATATATATATATATATATATATATATATTAAGTAAGACTACTAAGTCAATATTCTTCAACATCTATCACAGCCGATTTTGAGAAACAATGTATTATAATGCACAAGCTTGTATTCATTCGTATTATTGCTTTATTATGCTAAGAAGCACATCAGTTTATTTATATTCTATATTTATCATTGTTTTTATTTCAAAATAAATATTTGATAGAAAATACTCTTAATAGAAATCTGTTTCTAGTAAAAGCAATAAATCTGTTTAAATACGTTCACATGAATTGTGATAAAAGGTTTATATCTGCTAAGTGAATATTTTAGATATGTATAAAATTTTATCGGACAAAAACAGTTGTTCGTTTTTTTAGAATAAAAATTAAATCAACTCAATTCAATCAAAGAAATAAAATTATTTTTATTTGGTCACAGTATTTTCATAGTTCAGTTGTTAACTTATTGTTGTATGCTATTCAATGAAGAAATATTAATGTATTTGCATTTTGAAATTAGGTACACAGCCATAAAATGCCTGGGTGTATAAATTTGTAACAATGTGTAATTTATACAATCATTTTATATTACAAGCACTGATAAATATATTTTAATGTTAGCAATGATTAATGTTCTAGTTTTATGTGTTAATGGTTTTTAAGTAATAGCCTGATCTTTTAATATAATAATAATTTATTTAGATATACGGCAGCACATACATTAGACCTTTATTGTGAAGTTGCTGCAATATGTCGTCCACCTTTACGAGATGTTAGTGCAGTTAAAAGAAGTCATACACCCACTACTGGATATATCATTAGCGTTTATAAGGTAAGTTCTTAGAAGGCTTCAAGTCATACTATATATATAGTATATGTAAAGTAAATTCTTTAAGATCGATACATCAAAGATTTATAAATCAGAGACCATAGCTATTACATGTTTCTGTGCAAATATACTTAAACTTTTTCTACATTTTTGTGAAACAAAATTCTCATTATTTTTCTTATTTATATATATAAAAAAGGAAGAAATTCATGATTATTGACTGGTTAGTTGTATCAATGTCAATGTGCTGTGTACACATCTTTAGATGTAAGATACCAAGTTCAATATCCACTGATGATGACATCAATTTGTTTGTCGAAACGTTTGGAATTGAAGATTATTTTATAAATCTTTGTTTTTTCCTTAAAGAACTTACTCATATATCTCAACATCAAAATTAACTACTAAATCATATATATATATATATGTATATATATATATATATATATATATAATATATATATATATATATATATATATATATATATATATTGAAATGTGTGAGTTTGGTGTTGATATATATTTTGATGAGTTATTTAGAATCGGGCAGTAACACCAAGTAAAGGAAAAAAACTAAAGTAGTTTTGAAATACTTTATTTATCCATACGTTTCGGTCTTTATCGAGACCGCCATTCAGTGGAAAAAGAAATTAATTATACAAAAATACACTACACTATTACACAGTGATAAACCAGGGAATTAATAATTGGAACATTTAAACTAATTAATTTTTTTTGACAATTTTTTGCTTACATTCTAGTGTGTACAATTTGACTAACGTCTAAAAACTGAATGTAATAAAACTGCCCGATTCTAAATAACTCATCAAAATATATATATATATATATATATATATATATGTATATATATATATATATGTATATATATATATATATATATATATATTCCAATTCTAATCTCAAACGATTCAGAATGACTTGAAACGTTGAGAAAACATAAAATTAGCAAGTTGGATTTTATGGAGAAATAAACTTCTCCTTCTGGAATATGATAATAAAATAATATCTAATGTATTTTTTATAAATCTTATGATATTATAATAGGTATTCGAAGGTGACGACGGCGAGCGATTTGAACGCAACTGGCTGTACTGGACGGGAGCCAGGATGTTGTACCGTTACCTGCCGCGAGCAGCAGGACTGAGGCGCATTGCATTACACAAATCCGTCTCTTCTCGCGGGGACAAAATGTATCTGTTAGTTTGCGAATGCGCTCATTTACTGCAAGATCTCACAGCCGCTGCTTTATTGGTTCCTGCATTAAGAGCTAGACTATGCGGCTACACCGGCCTGTATCGACCTATCCAAACTTTTTAATAATTTACTTCAGGTAGAATTTTGCTCACTTGATATTATTCGTGATTCATATATTATAAGAAAAATTATTGCTCAGGATGAATTCAATTGATATATATATATATATATATATATATATTATATATATGTGTGTGTGTGTGTGTGTGTATGTGTGTATGTATTCAGTTTATTTTTTATCTATAAACGATGAAAAATGACTGAAGTATATAAATGAGACTGGAGTATATATATCGGCATTAGTTCTGACAAACCCAATTCTTTGCAAATTTGAAAGATAATGTTTAAAATCAAAAACATAAAAGTAATTTCATTAAGTGTACTTTTACCAATTTTCTCCACGTTTTTTTCTCAAATACTAACCCAATATGAAATTAGCTAATTAAAATTTTATAAGATTCATGTATTAGTTAATTCGTAAATTTATTGTTGGATGATTTTATGTAGGTGTTTTTAATTTTTGAGTTTCAATATGTTTAAAATAGTTATTTTAAAATACTTTTTTCTTTTATTTATTTTATTTAAATTATTCACAGTAAACGGTATTCCATATTCAGATAAATGTATTATTAACATTATTATTATATAATTCCCTAACTCTTGTTTAAAATTATCTATTACAATAATATTTTCTCTTTTAAGTTGGCTGAAACTTAATGTTAAAATGGTTTGATGTCTATGCTGAGGGCAGTCTAAAACATTATGTTTAGCTGCAAAGTGAACCATTGCTCTTCACTAAAACAGAAAGACAAAGGACTGTCGCAATAATGCTTAAATAAAATAATTATATTTTTCAATCAAAAAGAAAGAGCATTGTTTTATTCAAAATTCAAAAGTTGTTTCCAATATTTTTAAATAAAATATTTATATTTTGTTATATATTTGTGACTCTTTAAATATGCCTCTAAATATTATTAGTAATAAGACTCATGTTTAAACTAAACAGTTTACAAAAACAGATTTTATCACATAATAAAGCAGTACATGCGGCTGTGGATACTTATGTAACCCACAAGTAAATTAAGAAGTAAAATGCAATGGTATCGGTTGTTGAAATACTGAAAACATATCAAATGAAATGTTTTAGATTTTTATTGTTATTGCTAAATGGAAATAATTTATATATAGCTTTGGATCATCAGTTCTTTTACAGAAACCTAAATATTTATATTGTTCAATTGTGATTTGGGCTCTATATTGGAAAAGCTTCAAAAAATACTTAAAATGTAATGGGTTTCAAATACACAAAGTCTGTGTATTTATATTATATATATATATATATATATATATATATATATATATATATATAGGGGGTACAAGTATTAGGGGCATAAATAATTTTGAATGCTGTTAAAGTTAGAAACGTTTCAAAACTCATATTTATTTATAAATATAGAATATAATATATATTTATATATATATATATATATATAGCATGAACGGCAAAGATCATATCGAATGATGTTCAAGTTAAAGGTTTTCAGGCTATGTTTGGCTCATCATAATTTGTTTAAAGCATAGTCTTGAAGTGTTTGTAACTTCAACATTGTTCAATAAAATTAGTGTATAAAAGGATACATTGTGTGGATAGGTGATTTATTTACATATGTGTGTATATATATATATATATATATATATAATATATATATATATATATATATATATATATATATATATATGATGGTAGTTTTGTTGACATTGTTACATATTTGTAATATTTTTGCAACCCAATCGTCGAATTAAAAAGAAAGATTAAATAAAAAAAATATTTATTACATTAAACGTTTTGACACTTGATGTGTGTCATCATTCAGTAATCAAACCAGGAAAAACAACAGAAAAAAATAATTATTATGTAAAATTTATTGAACACTAAATTTATATAATAGTATAGTATATTAAATAATAGTATATTATTATTTTACACAATTGTGTAAAATAATAATATACTATTATATTAATAATAAGAAATTAAAGGAGCACATATTGCCCTCCTATATTTTATGTTTTTAATAGCGGTGCATTATGAACACTGATCAAGGTTACAAAGCAAGTGTAGTGATGATAGATACTGATGATATATATATATATATATATATATATATATATATATATAAATCAAAATGTTTAATATTTATAAAATTTGCAAATAGAAGTTAAAATAACAGGTGATTTAATAAATATTGCATAATATGTAGTGCATAGATTTCGCAATATCAATTATTGTTACTGAGCCAGTAATAAACAATGCAGTTAACCTTTTGATGAACTTATAATCATTAAAATGAATAGAAGTTTTTTATGAATTGCCAAATAAAAATAGTAATACACATTTTTATCTATCTTTATAGTTATTGGAAGATTTATTAGACTTGTTACTCATTTCATTATTTTAAATTACTTTATTTAAAGCTTTATTTAAGTTTGCAATTCACTGGCGGCCAAGTAAATCAAAACGAAAACAGCAATAGGGAATATAAAAATAAGGTATAAACAAGACAAGAACAACTTATATATGAACACAATATATAATACATAAAATTTGATATACCGACTAAAGTAATCAATAATTTTAAGAGGGGCCATTTTTTGAACAAACATATGCAATTCAAGTTTAATATGGCTGTGTTTCATTAAGGAATTGACCAATGTTATTAGTGAATTTTGAAGAAAGCATAACATGGTTTTTAAAAAACATGTATTCATGTAAATACTGATTTGAAACTGCTTGCATCTAAGATAATTATTAGCGTAAACTTATTTGATATAAATATTTAACTTGATTGTTACTTGCTACATATTATTTTCATAATAATAAATATAGTGGATTGTTATTTGTAGAAAATTCGTAATTATAGTATTGAAATTACATCACAAAATTTAACTAAGAAGATAAGTTGATAAGACCTTTTTGTCTTATACATCCATATAAAATTTATTTCACTTGTAGATGCATTAATTTAATGATATTGATATTGATTGCACATACTTCAAAAATTAGTTTTGGTAAAGTTATAGTCCATACATAAAGCAGTGCATTCCAGTTTTAGTATATAAAAATGCATATCAAATTATTGTGAATAATAATTATTATTCATTATAAATATATAAAGTGAAAATAAGATTATGGGCAAAAAGATCCCAGCAATGTTTCACTTTTGATAAACTATTATTATATAAAATTAAACAAAACATATCTAAGCAATTACGTCAGCAATTTATTATCATTCACAAACTTATGTGGATTCTAATCATAATAATTTCCTTCCATTTTATGCCAAGTAGGGATATATATTTATATGTGTCCAAATTATTAGTTATATCCTGAATTTATTATGTTTGTGTAAGAGGATTTTAAAAAATAACACAAAATAAAATAATACAAATTTTCTAAACCTTTTTCTTTCTCATGAACCTAACTATGAATTTTACTCTATTATATTCTACTATCTACTACTTTTAATAGATCCTACTCTTATATAAGAAATACTCGGTAATAAGGATGAAAGCTAATGAAATGTAACAAATGGTGTTGATCTTGTGAAAGGATAGGTTACAGGAAAGGATATATATATATATATATATATATATATATATATATATATATATATAACTAAAAATATTGTCAAATATAAGTAAATTCAAAACTAAAGTAAAAAAGTACATCATAGACAAACAAGATCAACTTTTCTTCAGTTAAATATGACCTTTGTTCTTAATCATTTGCATTAAGCACAAGGTACATATATGTATATTAGGTATCTGTATTGTATGCATGAAAGTTTGAATATAAGTGGGTATTACATGTTAGAATGTATGTATTACATGTAAGCAAATATATTGATATAAATCCCTATGTAAGATTGTTATGAAAAATGTAAGTATTTTGTTGTTATAAACTTCACATAGGGTAAGTTATAGTAATGAGCCAAAAATCGAAAATGAAAATTTTTGCATATTCTCACGTTTCAGATGTTTCTGAACATTTTGGCATAACTGAGAAAAAATGAATGTGTATGTGCATGTGTATGTGTGGAGACAGTTTTTCGTTGACGATTCTTGGCGAATGGATGAACCGATTTGACAAAATTCAAAAAGCAATCGATTCCTAATGATAGGGGGATGTGTTAATTAGTTTTTAGCAAATATGGAGCAAAAAGTGCTAATAATGTCAGTTTTTGAAAGAACGGATTAACCGATTTGAATGATCCAAAAAATATTCGATTCGTAATGATGAGTAGGAGTGGTGATTAGATTTTGGCAAAGGTAGGTCCAGCCGCTTTGGAGATACAGAGCTAAATGTGCAAAAAATTGTAGTTTTTGAGAGAACTAAGCATCCAACTTGATGAATGATTTAAAAAACTTTCTGCTTGTGTTGACAAAAAGATTGCTTTTGGGGAAAGATTTTTTTTAGTTTTATTTTTTCAAAGTGTTCAAAGCATTTAACCCTTTTTACTCGGATGCCACCGCTCTGGCGGCAAAATTCATATTAATCTCGGAATCCACGCGTGGAAAGGGTTAATATTCCTTGAATATTCCATTAATATACGGGAAGTTCCAGCAATTTGCCTTAAGGCACGATGCCATACACCACTAGTTAAGATTGCTGAATTGCCGTGATCTCTTATTCCAGAATATTTGTCTGACTGAGATGCAGTATGTATAAATATTATCAAATAAAAAAATATATGTAAAGCATTGAAGTAATGAAATGGCCATGATATAAATACCATTACGCGTCACTAATAAATCATTCGAAATTTTGGCAGTGAATTATGCGACAATTCTATGGACACCTGATGTTCTAGTTAATCAAATATTATCGCGTTCAATATTTTCTGAAAGTTATATTAAGTTTAACAACTTAATGTTCAGAAGCAACGCCTTCTGGTTTTACTGAATTTAAGACAAGATTCCAGATTGCTGGTTTTTCATACATAACGGTCAAAACAACATGAAGCAGGCGCCAACGAGTGCCAACGTAACGAACAAAACAAATGAAATAAATGCAACTAAAATCGATATGACTCATGACCAATGACTCCCGCGTTATCGTCTAGACGCGCGCCGATTGGCCGATACATTTCTTTTTGGCTGTCACCGCTCACTACTGTCACCCCGCTGTCACTGTCATAGCATAGACTTATTCCATTTTAGCGATATTTCAGTATAGTATAGTTATGTGTGTTTGGTTTAATGATTTTTGTAATCGGTTACTTAATAATCTCAAGCCGGGATTTTTTTCAAAATAAATAAACTATTCTTTATTACTGTCTTCATAACATTTACGTTTGGAATAATTTTCTAGTGTTTTAATTGTATGATCTTTTAATAGTTGAGTGACTTTATTTAATTCTTTATGATGGAAGCTCTAATACCAGTGATAAATAAATTGCAAGATGTTTTCAACACTGTGGGATCAGACTCAATACAACTGCCACAAATTATAGTACTTGGAAGTCAGGTAAATGTTCATACCTCATTTAATTTAAATCATTGAAGTGATGTAATTTATTCTTCTATTTTTTATCAATTGAAAGAGTTCAGGAAAAAGTTCAGTGATTGAAAGTTTGGTCGGTAGATCCTTTCTACCCAGAGGTATTGGTATAGTAACCAGGCGTCCACTAGTATTGCAATTAATATATTGTCCCAAAGATGATAGAGAACATAGGAGTCCCGAAGAAGGTATGTCACATTAATTCTATTTCTAATTATCTATTTATAAGACCGTCTTTAATAAGTTAATAAATTTATTATGATGCAGATTTCTCATATACTTTTAATTCATTTTTTAATTAGGGAATATGAACCTGGATGAATGGGGAAAGTTCTTGCATACCAAAAATAAAGTGTTTTCTGATTTTGATGAAATTCGTAAAGAAATTGAAGATGAGACAGATCGAATGGCTGGCAGTAATAAAGGAATATGTCCCGAACCCATCAGTTTGAAAATTTTTTCTCCTAGAGTTCTTAACTTGACATTAGTTGATTTGCCTGGAATTACAAAAGTACCTGTTGGAGATCAACCAGAAGATATTGAAAGCCAAATTAGAGGTTTAATCATTAGCTATATTAGCAATCCAAATTCAATAATTTTAGCAGTAACAGCTGCAAACACTGACATGGCTACAAGTGAAAGCTTAAAAATGGCAAAAGATGTGGATCCTGACGGTAGAAGAACTTTGGCAGTTGTTACAAAATTAGATTTGATGGATGCTGGGACAGATGCTATTGATATACTCTATGGTCGTGTAATTCCAGTTAAATTAGGCATTATAGGTGTAGTCAACAGATCTCAGCAAGATATCATGGACAAAAAGTCCATTGAAGATTCTCTGAAAGATGAAGCTGCTTTTCTGCAAAGAAAATATCCAACAATAGCTACACGTAATGGTACTCCTTATTTAGCCAAAACGTTAAATCGAATGTTGATGCATCACATTAGAGACTGTTTGCCTGACTTAAAGGTAAGAAATATTTGAATCGTATACTACAATATTTTCTTGAAGATTTATTTCTTATTTTTACAGTATGTTAATTAATAAGTTTGTCAAAAATATCACAGTATTATTACTAATCATTTCTTTTATTCATTTCATTTATTTAATTTATCATTTTGAATGATTATTATATATTTCAGACCAGAGTTAATGTTATGGTATCGCAGTTCCAGTCTATCATTAATTCATATGGAGATGATGTATCTGATAAGAGCCAAACATTATTACAAATAATCACAAAGTTTGCGTCATCATATTGTTCAACAATTGAAGGAACTGCTCGTAATATTGAGACTACAGAATTATGTGGTGGTGCTCGCATATGCTACATATTTCATGAAACATTTGGGAGAACATTAGACTCTATACATCCATTATCCGGTCTAACTAAAATGGATATTCTTACTGCAATCAGGAATGCCACAGGACCAAGACCAGCACTTTTTGTTCCAGAGGTATCATTTGAACTATTGGTTAAAAGGCAAATTAGGAGATTAGAAGAACCAAGCTTGAGATGTGTGGAGCTTGTACATGAAGAAATGCAGCGAATAATTCAGGTGATTTATTTTTAAATAAAACTCTTTTGATTTCTACAGTTATTAAGTGGAGATGATTTACTGATTGATTAATTTTTAGCATTGCGGTACAGAAGTTCAACAAGAAATGTTGCGTTTTCCCAAACTTTATGAGAGAATTGTTGATGTGGTGACTCATTTGCTTAGACGTCGTTTGCCAACAACTAATTCAATGGTTGAGAATTTAGTAGCTATTGAATTAGCATATATAAATACAAAGCATCCAGATTTTCATAAGGATGCAGCATTAGTTCCAAGTTTATTAAAATCAATGGAAATGGAAGAAATTATGACTGGTAGACAAAAGAAAAATAATACTAATCCTGCTATGTCCCCTAACATGACACAAAGTGCAGTTCAAGAATCAGATAATAAGGTGAGTTCAACTTGGCATTACTTACATAAGTATTGTTGCTATTTATTATTTTTTATTTAGCGTTCAGCAGTAATCAATCCAGAAGCAAATACAAATGGAACTTCTCACTGGCTTGCTAATATTTTACCATCAGGAAGAGGTGATAGTCGTGATCAGTCTTTAGAAAATACTCCAACGCATGATTTAAAAAATGCAACACAACAGGTTTTGAGTCCTCAAAAGCCTGTGAATTTACTGCCAGATGTTCCCACAACTGCTTCACGCAAACTTTCAGAAAGAGAACGAAGAGATTGTGATGTTATTGGTATATTTTCTTTGTATATTAATAAACTTTAAACAATTTATGTATGAGCAACTGATCTTTATTCATAACATACAACATTATTTATGTTATGGGTATATTATTATCTAATTAACTAACTCTATCAAATTTATCAACTATTTTATAATGAATTTATTTTTATTTCTAGAGAGGCTTATTAAGTCATACTTCTATATAGTTCGTAAATCAATTCAAGATTCAGTACCGAAAGCAGTCATGCATTTTCTTGTTAATTATGTTAAAGACAATTTACAGTCAGAATTAGTGACACATTTATATAAGTCTGATCAAGCGGAACAATTATTAAATGAATCGGAGCATATAGCACAAAGAAGGAAAGAAGCTGCTGATATGTTGAAGGTAAGTGATCAACTTCTTTTCATCACATCATTAATAGCGTAGTAAAGAAAAATTATTGATCAAGTAAATTTTTGCAGGCTTTGCAGAAAGCCGGCCACATTATAAGCGAAATTCGTGAGACACATATGTGGTGATTTATTGATTTATTATTTATTTAAATAATAGTAAATAGATTTAGTGAAAGTGAATTGGAACTCCATATTGCACTATAATTCTTGTTGATATACAATTTAAACATATAGTCAGTGTTATGTTATTGTTTAAATCAAAAATTCTAGTATTAGTTGTAGTTGACGAGATATTTTGTCATTTTGTTAACTTTATATAAATGATTATAATTTGTATATAAGTTTCATGGTATTATTTTTCTAATCTACAAATACATGTTTCTGTCTTGGCTAAAAATTTTGTGTTGTATCTTGTACTTGTTTATGTCTAGGTACTAAAATAATAATGCAAGGTATTAACGTGTTTTTAACATATTGTAAAAGTTCAGTTATTTGATTATTTGATATGATAATAGGTAGTAATAATATTTTAACAAATGGCAAATGCATTTTATTTCGGATATTTGTGTAATAACCTGAATAAAATTGTCAAATTTTCAACTATTTTTATTTTAAATTTCAAAAAGTTGATATATTTTTTGTTCATTATTAGTTAAGGAAAAACTGGTGGTATATAATCCATTGTACCTTAAATTAAAATCTTCATAGACATAATATTCTTATATTGTGAACAAATATTACATAAACAAGATAACTACTTTAGTTTTTATATAGTATGAAAACCAGTTGCTTTAAAAATTAAAAAGCCTAAGGTTTTAAAGCTTTTCGAAGATTGCTAAAAACTTTCAGAAGAACTCATTTTTTATTTTGTAACATTCGTTTATTTTGGAAATCTGTAAGATGTTACATAAAGATAAAGTTAGACATTTTCAAAAATCAGTGTAATTGAAAAGTTACAATTTTTGAAAGATTTGAGAATTATGAAAATTTGTTAAAGTAATAAAAAATTATGTAACGCGAAACGCATTATTCGGTAATAAGTTGGATCACAAGTCATGATAATATTATTAAGAAATTCTTAATATAATAAAAAATAAAATTTTACTCTTGATTTAATTTTAATTTTATCTCGAGTGTTATGAACTTTGATATGTTAGTACTGAACACTAAATACATAAAAAAATGAATAGTTTTGTTTTGTTTAAAAATAATATTAATATTCGTTACAATTAAAATCGTTCGTTCTGAGTGTAATGTAATATAATTTATAAAACCGCTGTAATGTATGTCGGAACCGTCTGGTAATTTTTTGTGTATATATCAAATACTTATTTTTGGTCAACATATGCGGGTAATATTGTATTAATATTGGCATGGAACCCGAAATTTGAAAAAGTTTGTAATGAAGTATGAAAGTTCAAAATAAATTATGTTGAAATGTTTGCTCTCAGAAATGTATATAAGTATATTGAAAATGTCTGTATGCAGATAGGGAAATCGAAATTCGATACAAAACGTAAAATTATGTAAATATTAACATGTATATATATACAATAATATCATTATTTTTTTTATAAAATATCTGATAATCTATCGGCTAATGTGCACTTATTTTTATCGTAAATGTAGTTGCTGATTAAATTTCCGTTTTGTTTTGACGTGGATTATACAAATCTGTATTTTTAATATAATTTTATTATCATAATGATTATTTGTGAAATGTAGAAATTTGAATCAAAGCGTCAAGCTATGTATACCACTAGGTATTGCTTTTTTCGATTAAAAAATATTACCGATCGTCGTTTTATACGTTAATCAAAAAGCTTGTTGAAGCAGCAGCAGGTTAATTTCGGATTATACTGATCAACATAGGTCTAGTCGGGGTTCAACACGGCAATCTCGTAGCTCGGAGGATGGCTACGAATCCTAGTGGTTTATCAGCAGAAAATACTGATTATCAAAAGACGTGTGATGCAGTGCAACGCGCAGACGTGCGCGTCTGCGCCGATCCCTTAAACTCCTTTTCGTCATATCGGGCACAATAGCGCAAAAGTAGGGGCAACGTCCGTCATACCCAACATCCTACATTTGAAGTAATTTTATTATTTATTCGCGCCTAAGTCAATTATATACATAGTTGGAATTAACCGTGCAATTGGAAATATCGTATTATAAGTGTCTACTTGATTTAACCGCGGAGAATTTTAGTTTCTTTTCGAGCGCAAGAGTTATGGCATAACTAAAAGCACAGGCAACAGTAATACTGCGAATACAATTTTAATTGATCCATTTTTATGAGGTGAGTCAAATAATATAGAAGTGTTTCTTATTGATGCGGATGCAGTTGTATTACTTGAAAGTTTCGGCTAAAATGGTCATTTTTTGTCATTTATAAATTCAATGCAATTTTATTTGTCTTTTGCTTAAATATTTATTTGTATATGGTATAATCAAGAATTTTTTTTGTTTATGAATTTTACATCTACACATACTTGACACAAGCACACATACATGTTCATGGTATATATATATATATATATATATATATATATATACCATGAAATTGACTATTCTTCCTACCTACATACATAATGGCGGCTGATAAATCAACATGCATTCAATACAATATTTTATTTTGAAAATATTACATTTTTTCTATATTCATATCGGTCGGAACTTTCTACCATAACAAAAATGTGATGATGCCGCAATGCGGAAAGTATTTAATACATGTTTTTTTCACAAACATGGTCATTTCTGGTATAAATATATACGATTATATATTTATATAATCGTACTGCAAAAAATATTCTTAATTTTTTTAAATTCTTATAATGAAGTAACTAGTTACTGTGCAAATCCAATTTATTGTCGATGATTCTAAAATATTTTAGGAGCAATAATTAAATATATTTCTACATGAACATTAGTATTTGTAATTATCTTTAACTTATTGTTCCGCTATAGAAGAAAGAAATTAATAGAAAGCCAAACTTATTGTTAGTTGATGCAATTTATGATATCGATTTAAAAAGCATCTGATGTGTTTATAATTTCAATACTATACGTATGTGGGTTTAACTAAAGAACATTATATTAGCGTGTACATGAAAGCGGTCTATCATGAAAAGCATTTTTGATCCAGTAACAATTAACAAAGATATTGATTTATATTATATTGAAAATCACTTTTTGTGTTACAGAATAAATTCGTTTATTTATATAGGTTAATAACTTTTGATAAAAATATATAAGCGGGTTGACTGGTCTTTTCAAATGTCTGTTTGTATTTATGGAATAAAATAATTATTTATGTATTTCACATTGTTGATCGTCTTAATAATTAATGAAATAAATAATTGCAAATTATGATAAAATGTACACAACACTAATAGTGAAGATATTGTATTGTATGTAATATTTTACAACAAAATATTGAACATGATAAGATTTTTGTGCAACTAGGATGGAATTCGACGGCATTTGATGGTTGCGTGCATGCTTATATTCGGACGCCTGGACAAGAGTCTGCTTATGGCCTATGTTAACTTGCGCCCTATGGGACACCTAACATTTGCTACGGCATGCTGCCGGTGCAACTAGCGATCGCAAGAACACGGCGGAAACGATCCCCCGGGCCAATTTTGTAAGTGGTATAAATATTGTATATAATAATAATATACTATATATATATCTTCTATATATAATAGGTTGTCAAATATCTCCCTTCCGCCTTTTTTGTATAATAAACCAAGAGCAAAAAAGCGGAAGGGAGATATTTGACAACCTAATATAAAAATAAGTCGGGTTTTCCTTCCTGACGAAATAACTCCAGAACGCACGAACCGATTTCGACAATTTTGCATTCGTTGGAAAGGTCTCGGGCTCCGCAAGGTTTATAGCTAAGAAAATTAGTGGTGCATGGCATCGTGCCCTGATGCAAATTTCTGGAACTTCACGCACCGTAATTAAAAATTCGAGTGATGACATTAGTGAGAATTATCAGAATTATGCTTGGTTAAGTCAACGAGCAATTCTTGCCGCCAAGAAATATGATGTACACGCACTGAATTTCACCATTCAATAAAAAATTGCTGGCGATTTGGTGACATACCAATGATTACGACTGGTTTTCCGTTTGACTTCAAATGATTGCAATTTCCAGTTCGCCTTGCGTTTGCAATAACAAGTCTCAAGGCCAATCACTTAGTGTTTGCGGGATAAATTTCAAATAGATTATTTAGAAAATCATTGTTTTTTACACGGGCAGTTATACGTTGCCTGTTCACGAGTTGGAAAACCATCCGCTTTGTTTGTGTTAACGTCAGGCCACAAAACAAAAAATGTGGTTTACCAAAGAGCACTTCAATGAAACAGATAATTTGCGGGTTCACTTTCATTTATTTAGAGAAGTTCAACTAAAAAATACTGCATTTTTGTAATCGTTAAAATAAAAAAATAAAAAAAAATTGTGATCGAAATAAATTTACTACTGTTGTATAATAAAATCAAATGTTTTCTTTTCAAATATAAAACAAACAAAAAATTTCTTCATCTTTCTCACGAGTTCGTCGGGTTTGCTAGTATATATATATATAAATGGTTGTTTCAAATATTCGTGGACTGATCGGCATTTGCATCACATAAAGACACTACTCCTATTTATCATTCTGCTCTCATCTTAGTAGTCTTGCTATAGTTGTAGTATCTCCATCTTTTTCTTCATATCTTCTCATTTTACGGTGCTTTTATTTATGAAATATAGACTTGAAGTTTTTCATTTGTCAGTATATCAATTAGTTTAATTCTTTTTTGTTTTAAAGCTGTGAAATTAATTGTTCATAAAAAATATATGTAAAATACAAACATTATGTTTACACTGTATAGAAAATTTCCAGCAATTGATATATTTGTATTTCTTTTATAATCACAGTTTCAATTAACGACCTACGAGATCAAGACGCACGACCGTGGCGTCCCCATGCGACGACGATGTCAGGAGGCGCGCAGAAGAAGCCGCGGGCGGCTGCGGTTTACGCAGCAGCAGGTCCGCCGCATTGGAACGGGCCTATGTTCACGATGTCTACGAGCAGTGTGAAGAAGCTCCGGCACCAATTCGACCGCGCGTTGCCCAATTTCTTGCTAGTCTCGAACCTGGTTCTTTAGTATGCGATGTCGGTAAGTGCTTGACTCACCGTCGCAGCATGCTGTAAGTTTTCACTCATTTATTATATATATTATTTATACGTATATACATATATACAGAGCCCGTCCTGGAGTCCTCAGCGCCCGCATGCAAGATTTGTTCTAGCGCCCCCCCCCCAAATTTTAACTGTTTTAACAGTTTTTCATTAAAATTACACAAACATTTGCGTTAATTTTTTAATTAATTTTTAATCATTCTGGATATAGTACACAAAAATTAGATATGATCCAAAAGCGTATAAAATAAATTGATTCTAAAATTTATTTATAAAATCGGGGCTATTTGCGGGTTGATCATAATCAAATATTTTTGAATTCTCAATTATTTATGTTTAATATTAATATTTGTGTTTTGAAACATTTAACTTATTCATTGTGCGACGTTTAATTAATACGTATGTTTAATATTAATATTTGGGTTTTGAAACATTTAACTTATTTATTGTGCGATTTACCCTATAGAGCAAATCACGCCAAAAGAGCAAAAAAAAACTAGTCTTAATTCTCAAACATAACACTCGAATTTCATGTTTTGAATTAAATTTTATTTTAATTAATTTTTTCATTATTTACAATATCCAAAGTTGCATCGTAAACTTCTCCTACCAGAGTATCAGATTGTTGTTTTGAAGTTAAACTTTTAACGTATTTTCAAATTATTGTCAATAAATTAGTAAAAGATACAAAGAAATTACATATTACCTTACATATTACTGAAACAAACAAATTATATCTGTATCTGTATAGTTTCTGCATAGTTAATAATTAAATTATGTATAAAAAAAAGCTTGTAGATTTTTGTTTCTAAGTACATTTTACTTCCATTTTTCATATTTGCTTCATAAGCCAAACCTAACCACGCATGTTTCCACGTTTAAAGTTCATCAGATGTGAAAACATTTGCTACAAAAATAAAAGTTACAATTCAATTTTTCCGATTGAACACGCAATTTTTTAAGTCCTGATTCCCCATTTTCCATTTTCTCTATTATAATTAGTATATATTTCTTTAACAAATTTCATTTCAACTAAATCAGCTCGCCATTTTTCACCAATAACGCCCAATAATTAATTTAAACCTTCGTAGGTTTGCTCTTACAGGATTGAACACTAATTTCTTTTCCGATTCCACGTTAACTTCAAACGAATAAAAAAATAAGTACATTAAACAATACGCAGAACAATAATCTACAAATTTGCATAGTTATTATTTGGTTAATTGTTTCTATTGATATCAGATTACAAACTGAATATGCTATTTGTGTCTCATAGCTAAGTTGGTTTGTTTATTATAATCTATTAAGTATTCTAGATTTTATATTTAAAAAAAAAATATAAATAATATATTATAAATTTCATTTCCGAACCTCGTTTTGGCGCCCCCTAAGGCGTGCGCCCGCATTTTTTGCATGCATTGCATTCAAGGTAGGACCGGGCCTGCATATATATATATATATATATATATATATATATATATACTTATCACTCATTTATCATATATATATATATATATATATATATATATATATAATTTACTAGAAACCATGATCATGAATGAAAAGAGAAGGATTGCCAAAAAAGTTAATATAAAAATATTTTTAAAAAATTCAATATTTTATCAAAATATTTAACTGATCATAACATAAAAATATTCATATTTTAAAATATGATTTATTGAGCATAGCTATTTTTTCAGTTTGAATTAGCAGAGTTTTGTTTTTAAAATGAATTATTTGTATATGTCTTACATAATTTTCAAAACTTGAGATCAGGCACAGAGTAAGACGTGGCGTATCACAAACTAATACCGGATTCGATTCCAACCTCAGAACTAGTAGACTTTAGAAGTCTATTTCTAAGTCGAAACAAAAAAATATTTTTGAAATATTTTCAAGGATTGTTTTTTTTTTTTTCTTATCGGATTATTGGCCTTGCAAACAATTGTCTTGAGTTAATACTGGTAAATATAATACACACATAATATATTTTTTACAATATTAGAATACACAGCATGAGACTACTATATAATTTTTTTTTATTATAGGTTGCGGAAGCGGCCGTTACTTGGGTTCAGCTGGCGACGGCGTATTTGCAATTGGTGCAGACCGCTGCGTGCGTCTTGCAGCGGCTGCTGCCGCAAAAGACCATCAAGTCGTGGTTTGCGATAATTTAGAGCTGCCATTTCGCGATGAAAGTTTCGATGCCGTTCTTTCACTAGCTGTGGTTCATCATTTCGCGACGACGGAACGTAGGGTTTGCGCTATACGGGAACTTGCTCGCGTCCTACGTATCAGCGGCCGGCTGGTTATCTCGGTGTGGGCGATGGAACAGAGACACCGACGATTTGAGTCGCAGGTATTTGAATTTGGCAAATATAAATTGAACGGTTATTGAAGTAATATTTGGCATCGTACTTCAAGATAAATATCTATATGTTATGAAATATACGTAAATATTGTTGAAAATAGAAAAGTGGACAGTGGCAGTAAAGACGAATTGTTTTGTAAAAATTTCTGACAATATTGACTGGTTAAAATACGATCTGGTTAAAATGAAAATATATTATTTTATGTTGTATTATACTATATCATATTATATATTTATTCAGGATGTATTGGTTCCTTGGCGTCCTCTGTCGACATACGATACGTGCTCGGGCGATGATTGTTTCGATGATGATGAAGATGAGGAAATAGCTAGTAGGCGCCGCACTGGAAGTTTTCCAACATTTCAAACTTGTGATGATGATGCTGACAGTTATCGTGAACGTACCACAATCTCCGATGACAGTGTTGCTAGTCGCGCAAGTTCATCGCCTGGCGAAACATGTTACAGTTTTGTTCGGCGAGCCATTCAAGTAAGTTACCATAATTATTATATATATATAACAACCTTAATCAAAAGTGAAGGTTAAACTATATGCAGATTATAGTAGAGTATTCTAAATAATATTAAATTCACCAATCGCACGCTTATTGATTTAACTTATTTTCATTATTATTTTATGAAATGTATTTTATGGTGTTTAAAGCAAGCAGTTAGACGTAAAAATATTTGGAAACAGTATACATAATTCGTCTAAATAATTGTATTCGTTCTACTCGCAGAAATTAGCGGGAGTACGCCGCGAAGCTTCTGCAAGTAGTTCTCGCACTCATCTTGTTAATGGAAATGGTACTGGTCGTGCTTGTTGCGGTGAATATGGATCTGGCAGTGCACCGCTGTGGACTGTTGTCTCCAAATCATCTTGTCAGGATGTCACACATTTGCCTATAGAACTCCGAAGGCTCGAGGAGTTTGAAGATAGCAACGAAGCTGCTTCTGATGGCCTAGCTAGTTCTTCTTCAGTTGGTCTAAAGAGCCAAAGCCTTGGAGATATTTTAGCACCAACGCCTAATTCTATGGTGCGATCCAGATCTAGTGTACCTAGTCTTGCCGGCCAGGTGAAATACGCTTAGAATAACTTTATGAAACATCTAAACTAAAGAAGCTTTTGCTAATTATTAAAATTGTAATTATATTTACAGATATCTGATTTACCAATGGATGAAACAGTGTGTACTACCTCCAGAAGACGACCACAGCTCACTAAACAAAAGAGATCGTTGTGCGAAGATCCTGAAGATGTAGAAAATATTTACAGTGATGATATCTTGCATCCCAGCAATGAACCTATAGTACCACCATCCCGAGGGTGGGGATTTGGTTTGCGAAAGCAAAGTTCTTTAAATGATGAACTTATGTCTACCAATCGGCAGCGCGAAAAAGAGCGTATTAGACGTCGCATACAAAAACAGACGTCTCTCAATGAAGCATTTCTTTGTAGGTCCTTATTTGTAAATAGTGCATCTAGACGATTTCAAATTTTAAGAGAAGGATTAAGTATGAGAATTAAGACTACTTCTGGTAGCTTGGAGAGAGCAACCCGGCATGGCATTGTGCGTATGATACAGGAGTTAAAAAGTGGCAATAATAGTTTGTCCGAAGATGATGGTCCAATAATTCAGAAACATGAGAACAATAGCGTCTCCGAAGAGTCCGAAACGCTAATTTTACCGAGTTCGCCTAACCCAAGTACTACACATAACAGTTGTAATCAAGCTCAAATTTCTAATCAAAGGCATCATTCGAGGGAAGATGGTTCTGGTAATACGTTACTATAAATAACTATTAGCATGTATTCATATATTTAATCATTTTAAACTTTTCAACAGATTCTTCAAAGGATAGCAGTCTGCAAAGTGATACAAGTGTTGATTCTGAAGACAGTGTGGCTTCTGTAATTTTTATTCCACGAATTACATCTGCACAAACTGATCAGCCAATGTCACCGGATCCAATATCACCACATCCTAAAACAACGTCACCGTTTTCCAAAACTGCACCACCTTTACTGTTACTTCAACCTGAAACTAATAGAACAAATGAGGAAGAAGTAACATCCAACAGTCAGCAGGGTGCGGGTAAAATAACTCGTCAAATTATTAGAAATTTACCTCCGATTCCAAAGTTTCGCGCCCTAAGTTCATACTCCCCCTTTCCGCTAGTACGTCGATACAGCGCTCTAAGTGGACGTCCGCCACCGAGGCTTCTTTCATTGGATTTGTTTAATCCAGAAACGGACGATTTAAATAGCGATTCTAGTGAACAGTCTTCGGCAGATTCTATAGATAGTGTTGTAAGCGCTCCGGCCCCCCAAGCGCCTCCTCCCCCGCCGCCGCCGCCGGTGACAACCTCGTACAATAGCGTGTCTGCTTCAGAGATGGCCGAATTTGCAGAACGCTTAAGTGCACGCTTACTTGCTGAGCTGGACCGGCAACCTTCGCAAGACGAAGATCGCACCGCTTTAGAGTCCTCGCCTGATAGCCCGTCAGCTGGTGGCGCTAGTACCCACCATCGCTATTATCACGTGTTTCGAGAAGGCGAACTCGACGCTCTTATTTCCCGTCACGTAGCCAGCTTGCACATTGTCTCTTCGTATTACGAGCGTGCCTCATGGTGTGTGGTTGCGGAAAAGGTTCAAGTTTGGACAATATGACCAACATTTGTGTGTAACATTTATTATTGAACTTGCTTCGACATAATCTCTATAAATGGTATTATTCACTTAACATATACGCCGATACTAGTGTTCGTTTCTGTAATTTTACTTGAAGATAATACGAATGTTATAATATAACGAGTAAATATATAAAAAATGCTGTACATAAGCAAAACTCTTGAAAGCATTAAAAAGCGACTTTTTATTTCATTGTGATCTACTACTACATTAAGAAATTAATAAAATCTTTAAGTGGAGTACATATTTAAATAAACGTATTTCATAATGCGATTGAACACAGTCTGTATCACAAATCATATTAAAAATATAACTTTAAAATGATATTGTTTAATGTAACAACGAATTAATCATACAGATTTACAGATACTATGTTACAGATATTATGTTATTTAAAAAAATCATCAATATTGCGCATTAATTGAATGCGCAAAATTGAATTGATTTTATGAGTAACATATTCATAGGGATATCAAAATTTCGTAGAAATTGACCAAAAAATATTAAATGCTTAATAATTATTGTTATATAAAAAATTAAACAAAAAACATATAAATTGCATTTTTTCATTTGAGTCACAGAATTAATTAATATTTTTATACGCATTTTTTCATATGCAAGATAAATTATATAATAATTTATTTAATTTTTTAATTATCGTTCTTTATTATTATTATCATATTTATTAAATTGTGTAAATAATTCTCAAATAATAAATCTCGTTAAGAAGTTATAATTGTGTTATTTATGTACACGTGGCAACATGCATGGATCATCAGAAAGAAAGTTTTCTTTATATACCAAAATTATCAGAAACTTAAAAAATATGATATATATATATATATATATATATATATATATATCTTCTATACGTATATAAAAATAAGTCGGGTTTTCCTTCCTGACGAAATAACTCCAGAACGCACGAACCGATTTCGACAATTTTGCATTCGTTGGAAAGGTCTCGGGCTCCGCAAGGTTTATAGCTAAGAAAATTAGTTGTGCATGGCATCGTGCCCTAATGCAAATTGCTGGAACTTCACGAACAGTAATTAAAATTTCGAGTAATGACATTAGTGAGAATTATCAGAATTATGCTTGGTTAAGTCAACTAGCAATTCTTGTCGCAAAGAATAATGATGTACACGCACTGAATTTCACCATTCAATCGAAAATTGCTGGCGATTTGGTAACATACCAATAATTCCGACTGGTTTTCCGTTTGACTTCAAACAATTGCAATTTCCAGTTCGCCTTGCGTTCGCAATAACAAGTCGCAAGGCCAATCGCTTAGTGTTTGCGGGGTAAATTTCAAATAGATTATTTAGAAAATCATTGTTTTCCACATGGGCAGTTATACGTTTCCTGTTCACGAGTTGGAAAACCATCCGCTTTGTTTGTGTTAACGTCAGACCAAAAAACAAAAAATTTGGTTTACCAAAGAGCACTTCAATGAAACGGATAATTGGCGGATTCACTTTCATTTACTTAGAAAAGTTCAACTAAAAAACACTTCATTTTTGTAATCGAAATAAATTCAATTCTGTTGTGCAATAAAATCAAATTTTTCCTTTTCAAATATAAGACAAACAAAAAATTTCTTCATCTTTCTCACGAAACCATCTGGTGGCGAAACGGAGTTCGTCAGGTTTGCTAGTATATATATATATATATTTAATTTAATAAATAGTGACAATAGTGAATATATTCTTAATTAACTTCTTCCTGTAGTTACAGTAATCGCAAAAAGTCGAAGATGAAAATTTGTATATATCTTTATCGTAAAGATCGACGTTACGTTTGAAAAGTTTCTGAACATTTTGGCAGAAAAAATTGATGTATATGTGTGTGTGTATGCACGTGTGGATATAATTTTTCATCGACGATTTTGAGAACATCGATCAACCGATTTATATATTGCTGGGGAGACGTGCTGATTAGTTTTTAGCGTAGACAGGTCCAGCCGCTCCTAAGATACGGGGTAAAAAGTGCCAAAAATGGAAATTAAGGTTTCGAGAGAACGGAGCGTCCTTATTTTTGATCGCTAGACCTGCTTTACCAAAAATTTGAACAGTTTTTCATCTTGTCAATACAAGTAAAATCTTTTTTGAAATATTAAAATCGGACGCTCCGTTCTCTTAAAAACTGAGTTACCGTTTTTGGCGCTTTTTGTCCCGTATCTTAAGAACGGCTAGACTTGCCTTCGCCAAAAACTAATCAGCACGTTCCTCTATCAATATGAATCGAATGTTTTTTGAATTATTCAAATAGGTTGATCGGTGTTCTTGAAATGGTCGACGAAATTTTGTATCCGCACACACACACTCACATACATCCATTTTTTCTAAGGTATGCCAAAATGTTCAGAAACCTCTGAAACGTAAATATATATAAAAAGTTTCGTTTTCGATTTTTTTGCGATTATTATAACTTGCCCTACGGGAAGTTAAAAATGTCATTTGGCGGTCAAAAATGTTTATTGGACATGTGTACATCAAATTATCAGATATTTTATAGAGATTTCAATAGTGTGTACACATTTTGTGTAATTTTTTTTTACGATGCCATGCATCCCACTAGTTAAAAATTATAATTTTCGGTGCGGGAAGTTCCAGCAAATTTGCTTTAGGGCACGAAGCGATGAACCACTAGTTTGAATAACACAATGTCTGAGTTATCGTTAGAAACGGATTGGTCCGATTGGGCATGAGATCGAGCTGAACTGAGACACTGATTATGAGACATTGTAATGTCAATTTTGTCAACAATGGCAATTCGTCATTCGGTGGTGCAACACTAAAGATGACAGCGTTTAGTCAAGTGCTCATGATGTTCATCAAAAGTTTTTTTTGCTTTTTCTAATTATATGTCACTTTTTGGGTGTTTGTTCGTAATTTGAATGCGTCAACGCCGTCGAAAAGATCAAAATATCATTATGGTGAATTGGAATTGAATTAAATGTGTTTCTGTGTGATCGTATTAAATAAATATATTTATTCTAACCTTTTAGTGAGATTATTTTGCATATAAGATTTACGTTTTACTTGACTTCTAGTTAAATGTAGTTGACGCTTTGCACTTATAACTAAATCTGTGATATTCTATTTATATAATAATGAGAACTTGACAAGATATTAAAAAGCAAAAGTGATGTATCTAGAGATTAATATAAGCCGATAACCGATGTATGTAACAATGCTTCCTTTCAAAATGTTTGTTTGACGAATTTTATTTATGTTAATGAAATTTTTAATACCTGGTTAAAACATAAGCAAATAAACTGAACTGAAAATTTTCACATTGTAGGCGAATAATGGCAGTGTTTTACTGTGCAGAAGTTAAGTTTTTTATGGAAATGAAAATATACTGTCAAAATCTTTGAGCAACATTTTGGCATTTTCACCACTAATATGGGTGATAAAGAATGTCCTGTGTATGGAGGTATGCACAATATTCCTGAAAAAACTAATCAAGTGTCTTACAGACAAAATGATTATTTGCAACTCCATGTTAAACAAGCTAAGAATGATTACCCAACAAGTCCAAGTGAAATGTGCATTTCAGGTAACAGTTTGTAGATACAGTAGAACCTCTATTAACCGGACTAATTGTTGTCGATAGGCATTCGGATAATCGAAAATCCGGATAATCCAATGTATGAAGAATAATGTTGAGTATTTATTAAAAATAAATACATACATAGATATCAACAAAACTCAATGTTTGTCAAGAATTTGACACTTGCTTATGGATATACATACATATTTTCTTAGATTACATTACATACAAATACTAAACTGCAGTATTAATCATGCAAAAATTCGAATTGTAAATATGTACATACATATAAATTGGCCGCGGTTGGTAGTCCAGATAATCGCGAGAGGTCCGGATAAACGAGGTTCTACTATAT